CCCCTCTCCCTCCCCTCTCCCTCCCTCCCTCCCTCCCTCCCTCCTTTTTCGCTACGACTGTCACGTATTTTCTTCCTCCCTCTGTCTCTTCCTTTTTCTCTATCCATGGCTACATACTTTCGCCTCTCCTCTACTTATCCTCTTCCCTTCTTCTCCCCGTTTGCCCCCCTTCCTTCACCCACCTTTTGCTTTCTTCCTTGTTTCCTCTCTTCTTTAGTTTCGTCCCTCATTTCGTCTACTTCTACTTCCCTTATTTCGTCTGCTCATTACATCTACTCCTCCTTTATTCTGTTATCTCTCACCCCACCTCTTAACCTATTGACCTCTCCCCCTATCTCTCCCCTTCCCCCCCCCCTGTTTTCTCACCTCAACTTATCCAATAGTTTTTTGTTTTGTTTTTTAATTCACCTATTCCCTCCCTTTATCACTCTCCCTCATCTCCCCCTATTCTTGGACTTCCCTTCCACTCGTTTATTTCTCCACCTTACCTTTCCTCTCTCTCCTTTACCCAACCTTCCTCCTTTTATCTTCTTACCCTATTTATCTCCTTACCTTTCTACCCTTCCTGTCTTTATCTCTCTTACCTCTTATCTGCTCTTCCCTCTTACCTCTTTACCTTACCTTTAACTTCCTCACCTCCCTATCCATCTTCTCCTTACCTCTCCCCCCCTCCCCCACCTGACCCTTTACCCTACCTTCTCTCTATCCTCTCCTCCTTTATCCCTGTTATTTTCTGATTCCATTTTCCAAATTATATCTTCTCCCTTTTCATTCGCTGCTGCCTTTCTCCCCTTCCTTATCTTTCTCTTTACCTATGCACTATTCCTTGTTCTCCTTCCCCTCTTTATTTCTCCACTTCTTTACTTCACTTTTTCCCCTGTCTTCTTCACCCTTTCCTTCGATTCCATCTTTTCCCTTATCTCCCCCCCCCCTCCCCCCCCCTTCCTTAAGTCTCCTCTCCCCCATCCTGTTTCTCATCACCTCTTCAACCCCATAATTCTTCCCCCCCCTCCCCCCCCCCTTTTTCCACCACTTTTCCACCCTTATGCTCCCCTCCCAACCTTCCCCCCTTACCCCTACCCCCCCTTTCCACCACCTCTCCATCCCCATACACCCCTTCCTCACCCTCTCCCCCCGCCCCCACCTCCCCCAACCATTCTCCATCATCTCTCCCCCGTCTCTCTATCCCCATACCCCTATCATCCCCCACCTCCCCCCCTTGCTCCACTTCCCCCAACCATCTTCCACCACCTCTCCCCCCCCCCCAGTTCTCTTCACCCCCCCTCCCCCATCCCTCCCTCCTTCCCCCCAGTTCTCCTCCCCATCCCTCCCTCCTTGCCCCCCTCCTCCATCCCTCCCTCCTTGCCCCCCCCAGTTCTCCCACCCCCACTCCTTGCCCCCCTCCCCCATCCCCTCCCTCCTTGCCCCCCTCCCCCATCCCTCTCCTCCTTGCCCCCCCCCCCTTTTGACCTCTGCAATAACCCGATCGTTCCCAGCCGTGTCACAGGGCGCGAGTCACACTAACTCTCGCTATGTCACCGTATGTCACACTCGAGGCGACAGGGAGGAACACGCTAGGCCAGGGAGGCGTGTCTTGACAAAAAAAAGAAAAAAAAGAAAAAAAGAAAAAAAAAAAATATTGTTCTTCCTTTTTGTTCATTTTTCTTCGTTTTTTTTTTTTGGGGGGGGGGGGTCTTGTTTGTTTGTTTGATTTTCCATTCTTACCTGTTCTTTTCTTCTTTTTTTGACTGTTTGCTGATTTATCTTTTGTGTGTTTTTATATATATTTTTTTTGGTTTGGGAAGGTTTCGGGTTTTGGGGGATTGGGGGGGGTAGGGGGAAAAAGGGGGGGGGGGTCGATTTCATAAGGGATACGGGTATGTGCGTGTCAGGGTTTATTTACGTGTGCATTTGGATACGTACATACGGTGTTCACGCACGCGCATTTAGGGATATATATACGAAGACACATGGTAGACACATACACACTCGCAGATACCCAAATCTGGATGAATGTGCATACATAGATACACATGGTCATAAATACAAAGACACACAAACACACAAAAGCTCACTCACTCTCTCTCTCTCTTTCTCTCTCTCTCTCTCTCTCTCTCTCTCTCTCTCTCTCTCTCTCTCTCTCTCTCTCTCTCTCTCTCTCTCTCTCTCTCTCTCTCTCTCTCTCTCTCTCTCTCTCTCTCTCTCTCTCTCTCTCTCTCTCTCTCTCTCTCTCTCTCTCTCTCTCTCTCTCTCTCTCTCTCTCTTTCACTCACACACTCACTCACTCACACAATCATACACACACACACACACAATCACTCACTCACTCACTCACACACACACACACACACACACACACACACACACACACACACACACACACACACACACACACACACACACACACACTGACATATGGCTAGGATACGAAATTTAGAATTTGGAATATATCTGCCATATCTATTTCCACCGAAATCAGGTGTAAAATCTTCACATGACATTTTATTAAGCTGAAAGCTCATTGTATCTGATTAATTGTTTAAAATGCATATTAAATGATTTTCATAATATCTCTCTCTCGCCCCTTCCACACTCTCTCTCCGCCCCCTCCTCTCTCTTTCTCCCTTTCTCTCTCTCTCTCTCTCTCTCTTTCTCTCTCTCTCTCTCTCTCTCTCTCTCTCTCTCTCTCTCTCTCTCTCTCTCTCTCTCTCTCTCTCTCTCTCTCTCTCTCTCTCTCTCTCTCTCTCTTTCTCTCTCTCTCTTTCTATCCTCTCCCCCTCTCTATCCATCTATCTATCAATTTATCTATCTATCTATCTATCTCAATATATATTTTTATGCATGTATATATCTACCGTTACACAACACACACACACACACACACACAGACAAAACAACCCCCCTCCCTACACACACACACACACACACACAAACCAATGCACACTCACACTCATACACACACTAACCAACACACACCTAACACGTAGAATGTATATTACCGATCGACCCGAAGGAGAAAACATGTAGAAACATATGGCCACAAATCCCTCCCGAGAGAGAAGAAGAAGAAGAAGAAGAAAAAAAAACGACTGATCGGCAACCCAATATACCTTCTCCGTTACGCGCGAGGAAGAAATATGCAAATCAAATATTGCCATGGTAGCATCTGCATTATCCCCTAAAATAGCGTGTACAGACTTGGTGCAATTTCCGTTCAATGGGAGGAGAGGGAGAGGGAGGAGGAGGGGGGGAGATGGGAGAAGGAGGAAGAGGGGGGGGTGGAGGTTATGGCGCAGGGACGAGGAAGAAAGAGAGAGGGGAAGGGAGAGGGATGGAAGAAGGGGGAGGAGGGGAGGGGGAGGATGGTGGAGGAGGGGGGGGAGGGAGAAGTCCGAGTGGGGGTGAGAGAGAAAGAGAAGAGGAAGGCGGAGAGAGAAAGAGCTGGAGATGGAAGGGGAGAGAGGGAAAGGAAGAGAGAAAGGGAGGGAAAAGAAGACGATGAGATAAAAAGACAGAGAGGGAAAGGTACAGGGGGAGGGAAAGAGGAAGAAATGGAAGAAGACAGTACGAGAGAGAGAGAGAGAGAGAGAGAGAGAGAGAGAGAGAGAGAGAGAGAGAGAGAGAGAGAGAGAGAGAGAGAGAGAGAGAGAAAGAGGAAAACTATTATGGTGAGGAATAGAAGAAAAACAGGAGAAGAAAACAAAATAGAAGTACAGCAAGGTAGATGAACAAAAGATAACAAACACGCAAAAAGAACGAAGAAGAGAAGAAAACAAAAAAAAAAAAACAACAGCAAAAAAAAAACAAAAAAAAAAAAAACGAAAAAACCTAAGAAAAGAAAAAAAAAAGACAAAACCAAAAGAAGAGTAATACAAACAAAGACGAACGAAAATAAGAAACGCAACCTGTACGTCATCGATTTCAATTCCGTGCGTCTAAGATTTACGAGCGAGACGTAAATTGACTCTCTTCACACCGATTATTGTCATCCTTCCAGGGGACTGCGTGACATGAATGCACAGATCCGATTGGAAAGTGCGGCCTTGTGTGTGTGTGTGTGTGTGTGTGTGTGTGTGTTTTAAGGAAACAGGCAAAGACTACATAGATTCTCATATGCAAACAAATATATACATCCATATGTACACATACATATATACAAATATTGTTTAACTATTCATGCAAATCAGCACTCTAATAACCCCTTTCACTCACACATACACACACACACACACACACACACACACACACACACACACACACACACACACACACACACATACACACACACATACATACATACATACACACACAAAATCAAAATCAAAGTAACATGTACACGAAAATGAAATGACAGCTGCACTAGTAAGGGAAACACTAATGGACTCCTTCCGCTTTTAATCTCTGGGTTTCGTCCTACTCACAACGTTGAGTGTTTTCTCTACTGTGTTTTATTTCACTAACAAACGCACGTATAAACATTCCCTCACACAAACAAACCAAACACAAACAGACACACGTGAAACATGCATTCAGAAATGTGCACACACACCAACATACACGGACAACATATCACAAACAAATATATACATACACAAACACATACAGACACACATACACAGAATATGAATAACCCAAAACAACAGCAGATATGAACTAAAATAAATTTCCGCTTTTAGTATGCTAATCCGTAAAATCTCAAGCACGATAGTTTAAAAAAAAAATCACGTCAGTTTTAAAACCGGTAACCATGGATGAACAAGTAAGTTAAGATAAAGTTGTTCATCTGTAAAAGTTCATTTCACCGTGTTGCAATCTGCAACTTTTAGAAAGTATGGAGAATGTAGGTGACTATAGCAATAATGATAGTGCCTATGCCAACGACAGTAATTATGGGCCATATTGATAGGGATAATGGTGAGGATAATATTCATTCAATTATAATGATAACAATAATGATATTGATGATGATAATAGTAATCCTAATAAGGCTAATAACAATATTCATAATAATGATGATAATAATATTGTTATTATTGATGATGATAATACTAATGATAATGATAATAATAATAATGATAATAATGATACTAATACTAATGATAATAACAATAATGTTAATAAAAATAATGACAATAATAATGATAATAATAATGATACTAATACTAATGATAATAAAAATAATGATAATAAAAATAATGACAATAATAATGATAATAATAATGATAATAATACTATTGATAATAACAATAATGATAATAAAAATAATGACAATAATAATGATAATAATAATGATAATAATACTATTGATAATAACAATAATGATAATAAAAATAATGACAATAATAATGATGAAAATAATAATGATAACATGATGATTGAAATTATGATAATAGTAGTATAATTTTAATCATCAATATCGTTATTATTATTTTGTTGTTGTTTTTGTTGTTCTTGTTGTTATTATTCTTATCATTATCATTATCATTGCTATGATCATCATAATCATTATTATCATTATCATTTTTTGTTACTAGTAGTTTCATTATCATTGTTATTGTTATAATTGTTATTGTTATTGTTATCACTATCATTATTGTTGTTATTATTAATTATAATCATTATAATTATCAATGATGCTATTATATATCATTGCTATCATGTTTTTTATTATCATTACATTTGTTATTATCATTATCATTATCATTTATTATCATTATTATTATGATTGTCATATCATCATCATTACTATTACTGAGTTCTTAGAGTTTTATTTGTGTCACTATTGTTATTGTTATCATTTTCATAATTATTATTATCATTACTATTGTTCATAGTTTTTGTTGTTGGTATGGTATTAGAACAAAAAAGAAAATAACATTGATATTGATAGTAATAATAATAATGATAATAATAATAATAATAATAATAATAATAATAATAATAATAATAATAATAATAATAATAATGATAATAATAATAATAATAATAATAATAATAATAATTATAATAACAATAATCTTCTTTGCCTTTCGGCGTGTTCCCTTGTTAGAGGTCGCCACAGCGCGTTAACTCCCTCCACCTCCTTCTATCTGTGGTGTCTTCTTCTACCACTCCCACTACTTTCATGTCTTCTTCGACAGCATCCATGAATCTTCTCTTCGGTCTCCCTCTCCTCCTCTTTCCTGGTGGTGCCATCTCCATCATCTTTCGTCCAACGTAGTCCTCTGGTCTCCTCTTTACATGCCCGAACCACCTCAGCCTACTTTCTCTTAGCTTATCCCCAAATCTTCTAGTTTGCAGCTGCTTTCTAACTTCCGCGTTTGGGACCCTATTTAACCTCGTCAGCCCCAGCGAGAAACGCAGCATTCTCATCTCTGCTACCTCCATTTTGCTTTCAGCAACTTTCGTGAGGGGGATTGTTTCTAGGCCGTGCATAATGGCTGGTCGTACGCAAGTTCTGTATACCTTGCCCTTGATCTTTGTAGACATATTTCTGTCACATAGGATGCTAGAGACTTTTCTCCACCCTTTCCAACCTGACTGTAGTCTCTTGCTAACTTCCGTGTGAATGTCTCCATCTCTGTCCATTGTTGACCCCAGATATTTAAATTCTTGGACTTTCTTGATTTCGATGTTTTCCATATAAACACGTCCATCACCATCTCTTTCATTGACACACATATTCCGTTTTACTTCGGCTGACCTTCATCCCTCGCCTCTCTAGGGCATGCCTCCATCTTTCTATCTTTTGTTCGGCTTCTTCATTATCCTCAGTACACAGTACGATGTCGTCAGCAAATGACATTGTCCACGGTGCTCCTTTAATAATAATAATATAATAATAATAATAATAATAATAATAATAATAATAATAATAATAATAATGATGATGATAAAAACACAATGTTAACAACAAAACCATCAACAACGATAAACGAAATGAGAATTCATCCCCCAACAATATCAGTAAACCTAACACCAAGTAATACCAACAACGGCAACACCAATAAACTTATTACTAAAACACAACGCTCGCTTCTGCCTTCCAAACTTCCTTTCAAACTCACCTCCGTAGGCTTTGCAAATTCAAACGACTCTCGACTAGGCCTACCTTTGGTGTCCTTTAGTCCTCTGTCTTAGTATCCTACCCCAGTGTCCTACCTTTAGTGCCCTACCTTAGTCCTCTACCCTAGTGCCCTATCCCAGTCTCCTACCCTAGTGTTCTAACCCAATCTTACCCTAGTTCCCTATCCCACTGTCCTACCCTAGCCCTCTACCCTAGTCTCCTACCCTAGTGTCCTACCTTAGTGTCCTACTATATTCCTTTACCCTTAGTGTCCTACCCTAGTGTACTACCCCAGTGTCCTACCCTTAGTGTCCTACCCCAGTTTCCTACCCCAGTGTCCTACCCTAGTGTCCTACCCTAGTCCTCTACCCTAGTCTTCTACCTTAGTGTCCTACCTTAGTGTCCTACCCTTAGTGTCCTACCCTAGTGTCCTACCCGAGTGTCCTACCCCAGTGCCCTAACCTTGGTGTCCTTCTCCCCACGAGGACAAACTTGGGCGTCATAATTTCAAAACGTAGATTATTCAAATAGCTTTCCTGAACCCTCGCTGTTGCCTAGCCGTTGCCGTGGAATTTATTTCGCGTCCTTCGAGAGCCTTCCAGAAATCTGTGTTTTTTTTTTTCTTTTCTTTTTTTTATTGAATTAATATAATTGATTAAATAATGTATTTTTTGTTTGTTTGTTTGTTTGTTTGTTTTCTGTTTTTTTCTTTCTTTCTTTCTTTATTCATTTGTCTGGTTATTTAATTAGTTGTTTATTTGTTTATTTAGTCATTGATTGATTGATTGATTTGTTTGTTTTAGTTAATTATCCATTTATTTAGTCATTTATTTATTTTGTTTAACTATTTATTTATTTATATATTTATTTATTCATTTATTTATTCATTTATTTATTTATTCATTGATTTATTTATTCATTGATTTATTTATCCATTAATTTATTTATTCATTCATTTATTTATTCATTCATTTATTTACGTGTCTCTTGGCGCTTTCAAATGTTTAAATCCGGCTCGTGTTCTGGGGCTGGATTTAAATAATAAACTTGTTCTTCGAGGATTTATTTAGCGTGTGAATGTATTTTGCGGATTTATTTTTGTCATGATTTTTTTTTGTATAATTTTTTTTTTCTTATAGATCTATTGTACGAGGTTTATTTTTTCTGTTTCATTATCTTTTTTTTTAATCTATTTTCTAATTAGGGGATTTATATTGTTGTGGGTTTATTGTTGTGGGAATCATTGTGGATTAGTTGTACGGTGAAATTATATATGTGGATTTATTCCATTGTTAGAATCGGTGTTATTATTGTATCAGTGTGGATTTATTTCCCGTGAAATTCCGAATTTATCGAACTGTTAGGCTGAGTCATTTTATTATCTTTTAACTCGGTTTATTTTTACTCTATATGAAATTTCGTGAGAATTGATTGGTTTCTTCTCGTCTCTCTGTTTATTCGTCTGTCTGTTTATTCGTCTTTCTGTTTACTCGTCTCTCTGTTTATTCGTCTCTCTGTTTATTCGTCTCTCTGTTTATTCGTCTCTCTGTTTATTCGTCTCTCTGTTTATTCGTCTCTCTGTTTATTCGTCTCTCTGTTTATTCGTCTCTCTGTTTATTCGTCTCTCTGTTTATTCGTCTCTCTGTTTATTCATCTCTCTGTTTATTCGTCTCTCTGTTTATTCGTCTCTCTGTTTATTCGTCTCTCTGTTTATTCGTCTCTCTGTTTATTCGTCTCTCTGCTTATTCGTCTCTCTGTTTATTCGTCTCTCTGTTTATTCGTCTCTCTGTTTATTCGTCTCTCTGTTTATTCGTCTCTCTGTTTATTCGTCTCTCTGTTTATTCGTCTCTCTGTTTATTCGTCTCTCTGTTTATTCGTATCTCTGTTTATTCGTATCTCTGTTTATTCGTATCTCTGTTTATTCGTCTCTCTATTTATTCGTCTCTCTATTTATTCGTCTCTCTGTTTATTCGTCTCTCTGTTTATTCGTCTCTCTGTTTATTCGTATCTCTGTTTATTCGTATCTCTGTTTATTCGTCTCTCTGTTTATTCCCTTCTATCTATTTATTCGTCTACGTATTTCGTGATGCGCGTGTGTGAGTTATTTATTCGTCTCTCTGTTTATTCCCTTCTGTCTATTTATTCGTCTACGTATTTCGTGATGCGCGTGTGTGAGTTATCTCTCTGTTGTGAAATTGTGTGAACTCGTTTTCTTTTACACTAAATTTAGCATAGATTCTAGGTCAGCTCGTATTCATTTCCTGTGGGAATCCGTGGCAATCCCTGCTATTGTGAGATTTTACATGCTATTATTTCTGTAACAGAGATTGTTTTTTTTTTTTAAGATATAATCTGCGTCAATCTACAGCAAAGAAATCAAACAAAATGACGTATATAAACGCCCCCCCAAAAAAATAAAAAATAAAACAATAATAATAAGAAGAAGAAAAAAAAAAGAAAGAAAGAAAGAAAAAAAGAAAGTAATAATAATAACAAAATAAATAAATAAAAAAAATAAAATAAATCTATGACATTCGAACGAGTTACTCTCCCCCGAGGTTGACCAGTGCACCTGTCCCTTCTCGTCAAGTTCGTATGCAAATTTTGATCCAAACTCGATTGCCAAAGTTTCAAGGAGGCCGAGGGGGATCTGAACGCGTCGGTCTACTCACGGCAGCTCTCGGGCGGCGTTCAGAAGAGGCCGTTAAGGATGCGATAATGGGGGGGGGGGATGTTAATGGGGTAAGGGGGGGGAGAGGGGGAGATGGGGATAAAAGGGTGAGGGGAATGAGACTATCATCATCATCATCATCATCATCATCATCATCATCATCCTCATCATCATCATCATCACCATCATCATCATTATCATTATTATCATTATCCCCCTCGTCGTTATCATCAAAATCATTATCAATCATAATCATCACTATCATTATCAATATCATCCTCGTCATCATCATCATCATCCTCACCAATATGAACACCATCACCATCATCACAGTCATTATCATCATCACCATCATCATCATCATCACTATAATTAAATATGTGTATACAGAAAGAAAAGAAAAAAAATAATTATCTTTCTCCTACGTTCGGCTTGTAGTAGAAGTCAGTGGATGCAAGATAATGCTTTAATTCTGTTTCTAATTAAGAATGAAAACTAAATCTAAAAGTTGAGAACGACTGGACTATGAGGACGAAACAAAATGAAAACGAAAAAGAAAACGAAAAGCATTTGAAAGTAAATAAGGAAATAAATAGCCAGAGAAGAAGAAGAAAAAGAAGAAAAAGAAGAAGAAATAAAGAGGATATCGATTGAATTTGCAGATACGAGCAATATCATTACGAAAGTTTATCCATTGAGTGCACGAGCGTAAGCGTCCGAAACACACGCGCGCGTAGACGATCCCACCGAAAACGTTTCCTTATCGCGTCCCGAACTTTGAGCGAGTGACGTCATTCGCTGATCAGTCTCCCGCCGGAAATGGGTCACGTGACCTGCAAGCCTCGCAGCCAGCCGGCGTCCAAAATTCTAATCTGAATTAATTAATTCCTAACCGGCCACTGCAACAGCACTCGGCTCTTATGGTCTGAATACCTCTATCGTTGCCAAGGCGATATTCCGGGCGGGGAGAGAGGGGCGGATTTTAGGTCGAGTTGGGGGGGGGGGGGGAGGTGCGTTGAAATGCGTTCGTAGGCGGCATCCGTGCATCTCGCGGCAACAACGGTGTGGTTTAGTATGTTTATACAATGACAATTCATATATGTACACTAAGGCATGCACGTACACATTCACACGTATTACACACATGCGCAGACACAGTTTTACACACACGCATATACACACAGATACACATTCTACGATACACGGATTAAAATGTACACATTCGCAGACACGCATTACAAACATACACAGACACACACACCAAACACATGCATAGACACATATCACAAACATAAACATAAACACATATTATACATATACACAAACACACATTTTACATACGTTCACGTCACATGCACGTTACACAAATGTACAGTCACACACTTTACGCACATGCAAAAGGACACATTGTGTGCATACACAGATATTACGCACATTCACATTCACATACACACATACACATGCACACACTCACCCCTTACACATACCCAGTCCCCACACATACCCTATTCTCCCCCTCCCCCCTCTCCCCCTCCCTTCACCCCACTCCAAAAGAAATTTTATTGCATATGATATCTGATATGCAACTCAGTCGAGGCAGTATTTCATTGCAAACCGACAGACCCTTATATTTTTATCTTATATATATATATATATATATATATATATATATATATATATATATATATATATATATATATATATATATATATATGTATGTATGTATGTATGTGTGTGTATGTATGTATGTGTGTGTGTGTGTGTGTGTGTGTGTATGTGTGTCGCCTCCCTCCCTTCCCTCTGTCTGTCTCTCTCTCTCTCTCTCTCTTCTTATCTTTTATCTTTTATCTTTTACTATATTTACTCACCCTTTTTACGACTTGTACTTTTGATATCACGTCGATTCGCATCACAACGCATACAAATTCTGTCTGATGAGCTTTG